GTGTCGGAAGCACCAGCATCTCCGCTCCCGCGCGACCGCTTCCGCGTGGACTCTGCACCTCTCACGCGAACATGCTCTCTGATCACTTCCCCAAGGCAAGAGTGGGAAAGGGGGAGCTTCAGTCGACTGGATATGATTAGAGAGCATGTTCGCGGAAGAGGTGCAGAGTCCCGCTGGGGAAAGATGTTGGTGCACCCGACACTGCAATTGATAAGCCCTATGAACATCTAGGAAGAATGTGTTTTTTCAGATCTTTTTGATAGTTCTGAAGATTTCAGTTTTTTTTTTCAGCGTGCATTCAAGTATCTATCTCTAAACTGGCGAAAAAAGGCAAGAGTGTGAAGTGTGGCGAATTTGCTCAAGGAATCTAGTTTAGATTTTCTTTTTTTTTTTGAGTATCTGAGGAACTTTGCTTAAATCTTCTTGCAACTCTAGCGCAGTCACTATAAGATCATTGTAACCATAACGGTTTGCTCATTTTATTAACTTAAAAATAATCTTTTCATACTTTGCACAATCGTCTCTCACGTCGAATAGGATAATACCATACATCGGCTTTCCTGAAATTTCATTTTTTTGGTCAGGACCACTGAACAGAATCTTTGGATTCTTGCCCGCATTTTTTGGTATATTTTCAACTCATAAAAACTCGTAATTATCCGATCAACAAAAATCCAAAGGTCATTTTGCCGTAACTCATGTGTGAATTCTATAGTTTCCTTTCTATTTCCATAATATTTCACTGATGTGCGCTTCGCAAACGTTTTTTTCGAACCGAAAGACCAGTTTAATCCAGCAATTTTCCACTTTTCTTATGGTAATCGCTGTAGAAGCAATTATTATTAGTTCTACACACATGAAAAACGAGTTGAAATGCGGTGCCCCATTTGGAAGTGGCAGCTCTTCAAAGCTCCTACTAGCGAACACCTACACCAGTCAAGAGAGTCCCGTTCCCCATTTTCGCAATGACGAAATTATTTACAACCTCTTAAGTGTTGAAGAGACAGCCGTGCGCCGACTTTCGAATCGAAGAAGGCTATAAACACGGGAAAGGCGGCTCGGAAAATTCTCAAGTAGCTTCACGAGCTAGTCTCGTTTTCTCTTTTCTTTCGGAATTGCAAATTCATCCCTAAGTATCGTCACAACTTGTGTCACTATAGAACTGTTCAATCGTCTGCGCTGTATTCCGCTAGTCATCGACTTTTGCTCATCCCTTAAAATGCTGTCTTCTCTGAATACCACTATCCTGCCTAATAAGAGCAGTATAGGACTCGAAAGCTCAAAAGCTATTGAGCTTCCAAGCAAAATTTAGTTTAGATGATATTTTGTCCAAGTTCTGTTACAATTGTTTCCTAACTCTTGGGTGAAAAACGGTTGCGATAATTTTTTCCGTCGCGACATATTAATTCGCAGAACCTCCAAATTGTTATAACTTTTTTCAAAGTAGTTTTCAGAGGAAACCGAACACATTGTTGGACTTTTCGTGGTGAAAATCTAGCGAATTAATAGAATATATGTAAAAATTTCAAAATTGCTTTTGTTTGAACTGTCGCAACAAAACCGTCGCAGTGCTCTAATTTCCTTAAACATAAGTCTCATGAAATTGTAATAAGAAAGCTAAATTTCATTCACAAAACTAAATTTCGCTTTAAAGGTACATCTTTGGTTTTCTGGCAAATTTCCTACTTAACAGAGCTTCAAAAAATCCTTCCATCTTCTTCATAAAACATACAGCTTCTATTTGGATTATTTTCGTCGAATTCAGGTCCCTTACGGAAATTTTTGAGAACTGAGGAAGTTTACTTGGATTCTATTAGGTCGTTCCGAAAGTTCTTTCCGTTTTTTCAACCTATCATAAAAACACGAGGGATGAAGGTAGGGAAACGCATCAGGCACTATCCGACGCAGCTTTTCTTCCTCTTTTCAACTGTCATAATCCTGTGCCGCTTGCTCTTGTGTTCAGTGAGATAATGTCTGAAATTTCGAACCCATGGTTTTCACGGTGTCCAACTTTGGCAATTTTTCACATCCTTCTTTCTTGATTTTTGGAAAGGCTTCAATAGCACTCAGATAGTATAAACAAAGTGCAATCTAATGGAATTTTTTGGCGACTTCAACTGGCTTCTTAGTATTTTTTGAGATAATTTTTCCAGAAGTCTTCACTTTTTCGAAGTCACAAAAAACAAAAACGCTCCAAACATTAACAAATCTTCGGATTTCGACACTTTCAAAAGTCGTTTATGATTGTCCATTATTTTTACAAAGTAACTCAGTGTTTACCGCTTCGAAATATAAGATTTCGCTTTTCGCGTGTACACCCTTAGGCGGGTTCAAAATCAAGAATTATGGAAATTTTATCGTCAAAAACTCCCACAAATTGGGAAGAAAAATACTCAGTAAAAAGAGGAGGGAAAGCTGCATTGAATGACACCTTAGTTGTGCGCCGTTTGATGTTCTGTGGTTCTTGGCATCACCAAAAGTGGAATTTGATAGCATCAGAAAAATAATTCTAAGGAATTTTTAAGGCTAGCCATAGGCGCCGAAAAATTGCATTAAATCGCACTTTGTTTGCTCTATCTGACTGCTATCAAAGCTTCTCCAAAAGTCAAAAAAGAAGATCGTGAAAATTCGCCAAAGTTGGACATGGTAAAAACCATTAGTTCAAAATTTCGGCCATTATCTCACTGAACACAAGGGCAAGCGGCACACGAATATGAAAGTTGAAAAGAGGAAGAAAAGCTGCGTCGGATAGTGCCTGACGCGTTTCCCTACCTTCATTCCTCGTGTTTTTATGATAGGTTGAAAAAACGGAAAGAACTTTCGGAACGACCTAATATAAACAATCGACATCAGGATGTGTTGTACGTGGTGATAACCTTCAGAACTTCAACGATCGCAAATGAGACAACCCTTCCGCTCTGAATCAGTTCGAAAATTGAGATTAGGAAGCTGTAAGTCGAAAAAGAGAGTTATCAAGTATTATAGAATATGAAGTTGTCAAAGTCATTTTCGCTGACATCTTTCACAATTGAACTTTTCGTGTGGTTATTTGTTTTTCACTGAGAAGGAAAAATCCCAATTCGAGGTAGGAATTCAGTGCCTCAAGATAGTTCATGTCTGACCTACTTAGAGGTACTTCCACTCCAACTTATTTACCTCGGAGGAATTGTAAGTGACTAGCAAAAATTCGCCTGCGATGTAAGATACTCTACGAATTAAGCTACTTTTTGACGGAATTTTTGATTGTTTGCGCTTTTCTTCGAAAGGGCTCCAGTTCGGCAGTAACCTTTATTGTTTTACAGCTCGTAAATTGCTGAGTTTTGTTAATAACTTTTGAAATGCAACTTGTCCTAGACCACATACGCAAAACGGCCTGCAAGCTCTTCGGTTTTTCTTTGCTAATGATAACGATTAAGTCACTGCTTTCACTGCGATAGCTCATATTCATCAAAAAATCGAAAACCAATATAAAACGTGGTAACCCTGCTCTAGATAAAGAAATGTTGAGATAGCATGTTATTTTCGTCTTTCTGAAGATTTTGAGTTGTATGTACTTGTAAGCCAAATCAGGGCGTCTCTTTTACAAAAAGCAAGGGTTATAGAGTTAGAAAAAACTTTTCACTATCAAACGTCAGCAAATGCCTTACATTTTCAATCTCCCAGCTTTAGCAAGAAGATGCAAGCAGTATTTGTAATAACATTCTCTACACCGTACGCAAAGTACAAATAAATGAAAATAAATACAAACAAAAACTGTCCCACTCTAGTGAATATCAGGTTGCAAAAGCATTTATGTGAATTGTCTGTGACATTCAGTGAAAATTGTAGCCATCCATTTTTTTCCAGAGAAATAAACCGCAGTGCTGCAAAGTGTGCGGTTGGAAATGTCAAATATTATACTTCTCTTCGTTTCTCCTGCACTCTTCTAGCTCATAAAGTTTTATCTAAAGTTATAAACGCTGAGAGTTGCGTGGCCACATACTTTTCTTCTGTAGTTTTGAGGTCTAGTGGATCTTTTCTCACTGATCCTATTCTGAATTATTGATATCAACCTAAAATTGCTTTGACTGTTTTGATCGGAGCTGGAAGCAACCTTGCAAGTTGTGGGCACAAATGGACATCACGATGTCAAGTTTAAAAAGGAGTCTTGCACCAAAAACTCTAAAAGAACATCCAAAAATTTTCGGAGGCTTCCCAATTTGCGTACTATATTCAATGTACGTGATGTATGTAGTACTCCACAACTATTACTAAAACAGTTTATTGGATATTGTAACGAACAGAACCCAAAAATGAAAAAAGATTCAAAAATCAATTTTTATAAAGTCATCCAGTCGATACGAATCATCTTGTTTGTAAACGTAGGTCATGATACCCACCAACAGTAACGCTATGAATTTTTGGAGTAAGCAACTTCAGTAAAATTTTAGAAACTTACAATTTGAGTGTTCACGTTTATCAGCTTTTAGTGAATCGAGATGACAATGATAATCCTTCTTTTCAAAATTTAGAAAGAACTTACTTCTTTTTTTGCAAACTATAGAAAATTAAACAGTTCATTGTATTTGAGACGAGTCGCGGATTTTCAAAAGTTTTGGTGCAAGTCTTTGTTCAAAGCTAATCGCTATTATTTAGGAGCAAGGTTGACTTTTCTGTAATAATTCTAGATTTTTGTCGAAAAGGTCTCCAAAATAATCCACTTATCCTTTTGCCAATGGCTTGTCGTATGCGCGAGTTTTTCGACCGCTTTTCGGAATTTTTTGTGTAAATTGCCGGATATTGCTAGACTTAAGAAATTTTGTCACTAGGTGCACACATCTGGAGGAATTACACCGTCACTGGAACTAATGGAACCAGTGACGTTTGTCCGAAGTGACAAGTTTCTTTACACCGTGTAACGTTTTTCTATACTTAGGGTTTTATGAATGTGGTTGTCAGGTCAGCGAAATTTCAAAATTTTTCTCTTAGTCTGGATGTAACACCTTCGTTGCGCTGAAACGATGGTGTCTAATTTCAAAAACAACTTGGAAATTGCAAACCCGATAGTCAGTTAGACCTTTGCTCCAGTGGGTCTCACTCCACTTTCATCTTTCTCAAGGCTGCGGCTGATTCCAGTTCTATTCGCTATTTTTTGAGAGCATCCATTAACGTAACGACAACTGTTAATCAACTTCTTCGAAGCTCCTGCTACGCCCATGATTGTGTCTTTCATCGCCACGTGAAAAAGTTCGGTTCACTGTCGTTGTCTTTTTCTTTGCTTCGTTTTCTCAAATTTCATAAAAGTTTTCAGTTGCCGCGAGCTATGGACTTCTTCGGAGCATGGCATGCACTATTTCAACTTACTGCTCAGCAGTACGAGCTGCTCTCTGAGGCGTCAACCATCGTCAGTGAGTCTGTCAAGTTTTTTCAATTCAAAGAAAGGTTTTGTATGTTATGTGGATATATTCGAATTATTATAGTCGAATAGAATTGATTATTATTATGGTGTTCATGGAGGCGCAAAAACCAGAAATCGCGCTCTATTGCCATTTTTTACGCGCAATTGTTACCTACTCACGAGCTTGGCGATTTTTTTCGCGCAAATGTTGTCAGCACTGCAGGGACACTGCAGGCAACTGTTGCAGCTACTGCTTACAGACTCCATACATATGATAGTTTAACGAGCAACTGATGGCAGTCATCTTTATTTTGTCCTTTGAAGTTGCACCGAAAAGACCGCACAATATCTATAGGAAGTGACATGGTCTTACCTAAAGGATGGTTAATAATTCCTGATTGTTTCACATCCTTCCATTTGGATTGCATTCTTCGTCTCTGTATTTTTACTTGTTGTTCAACTAAGGGCTTGTTCTATGAAATTCGGTATCTGTTTCTCTCAAAAATGAAAATTCTTAAATCTATAACAAAGCACCGCGCAAAAGCACATTAACACGCTCAGTACAGCATATAAGTGCAAAAACCTGGTAGGGGAGATGAATCTAGTAGAAAATATATATAAATATATAGATATAAATATATACTTCACAGCACACGGAGCGTATTCCAATAACTTTTGTGAAATGGAAGAAATGTAACAGCGCAGAGACTGCCGTGATTTTTTATCACATTCACGGAGATGGGCAATTTTTCATCAGGCAAGCGACTTTCGCACTTCTTTTTCATTGGTCCATGCAGTTATTTTCACACCTGTTCTAGATATTTTTATTGCACTGCAAATTGACTGAATTAACCATCGAGAAGTGAGAATTCGATTGAAGAATTGAGAGAGAGAAAGAATTGAGCCTTAAGCTACTTAACTGAGCAATGGATAAAAATTTGGTTGCTGACGTGTGAGTCTGATCTGCACTCTGAATCAAATGATAAAACCAATTTTTCGCTGATCTTCTTATTACAAAAAGTGGGAAATTGTTAAAATGTTTGCACTCGGTAATTCCCAATCCTTTGTCATTTCTAATGTCTTAGATGTCTCTATCTAATATTAGCAAATGCGGCGCGGTTTTTTATGGCACATTTTATTTTCAGGCACCACAAATTTTTTTTATGAATTCTGCTATAATCGCACCATATGTTCTCCTGGACCCAAAACTTCCCATGCAAGGATTATTTTCATCTCTGTTGTTTATTATTTACAAGTGTATAAACACATTATGAACTTCGATTTTCCAGCTGACCTTTGTCAACTGGCTTGGCGGCTGGAAGGCGGAGCTTTGTGACCTAATATGGCAGCTCGCGCCCCGATGCAGTCTGCGTCTCTCTTCCGCGCGTGCTCTCGGATCATTATCTAGCCTTAACTAGGTCACGAAGCCCCGCCATCCAGCGCCAAGCCATTTGAATTAGAGGGTATCTTATGATCTTTTTTCATATTCATCATTTTTGGTAAGGCTAATATGAAAATTGAAGTTGAGTCAAGGTTGAAAAGCGCAAATCCTCGCAAAGGCATTCATATGGGGTATACTGTGTCGTTAGAATCGCGTTATTCGCTACACGACTGGATTACAGTCCGTATTTTTCCCTCGGCAAACTTACGCACGCTATCCCTCTGCTACTGCCTTCTGTTCGATGCTGTTTGCACTGTGGCGAGGTTATAGTTCACGCACTGAAAGCCGTCCGTGTTTCGCTCACGCTACGTTCACAAATTTCAAATATGCCGTGTACGAGTTCTATGTAAATAAGCCGGCTATTTGACGTTTTTCTTACGCTCCCGTCGTCGGCTGATCGTCTCTGGTCTTTCGGCGCTCGCCTTGGACGTTCCCTTCTCACTCGACGTACTTTGCTATCCATTAGCCTCCTTTTTGTGTGTATCTCGATGGCTGTACAGATCTACACGCGAGACTGAATGTGTCTGCCAAGTGCACTATAATACATCAAGATGTCCTCAAACATTTTACGCAAACATCTAAAAAGCATTTTAACACGGCGGTTCAATCCGATTTCACTTTCGATCATAGTTTATTCTCAGGAGGAAAAAAAGCACATGACGACAATGTGCTTATGGAATGTATGTTCATTCAACAACGAAGTTTTTCTTGAAAACTATCTTAGCTGTCTAATTGCATTAATATAAAAAAAGTAAATTTGGATAGAAGTTCTAGTAATCTCCAGTGAATGATGTGTAGGCAAACGATGAGTCTGATACTTTGTAGATTTATATCGTTTCTGGCAGTTTTTTTTCTCCTATTAAAATTTTTCCCTAATTTTTAAACAAGATTGGATAAGTTGTTCTACAAAGAAGTTGCATAGGTTCCCCGCTTATTCGATAAAATTTGTTGGGGTTTGAACAAAAAAAAATTTTCTAGATAGTCTTACCAGCGAAAAAGCCAAGAGGTGCAGGGGTCCCAAAAAGATGTGTCTAGTTTGATTGTTTATGAAACTCTTGTAATGAAGTCCTTGGAAAAGTTTTCGGTACTGCTTTATAGAGCTGCCTTCATCTTAGATTTACAGTATAAACCAAATCACCGATCGCTCTTCCTTACTGTGGGATTACGGTAGAAACTTCAAGCATATGGAAAGAAGCTGCTGTTTCAAAATTTCTAAAGAAAGGTAAACTTGTGTAATAGGGTTTTCGTGGACGCTGTCAATACTTAACTATGCACGAGATGAATAAACGGCCGCTACTGCTTACTTTGCATAACTTTCTAATGAAGCATTATGATAAGTTGCGAAGTTCAGATTTAAAATCAGCAAATCTAATTAGCCCAGCGAAATTGTTTTTTCCCTTCTGAGGCAAAATATGCCCTTTTATGGCTCAAAATTTTTTCAAACCTGCTACCGTAATCCAACTGTAATGGAAAGTAGAAAGTAGTCGATAATCAGCTCCTCACAGTAAATCTAAGTTGAAGCCAGCTATACAAAATGCCTAAAGCTTCTATAAAGACTCCATAAAGAGATAATTACCAACAATCAAACAGTGGGCACATCTTTTTGAGACGCCCTGTATATTAGAAAGAGCATCTGGTGAGCGCGAAAAAATGATTCTTGAATTTTCACGAAGCTTTGTAAGAGCGATAGCTTTTTGTTTTGTCTTTGTAGGATTAGCAAATGGATTGGTTGAAATTTGAGATACATTTTTGCATTTTGTCGCATTTATTATATTTCAACAACCCTTAAAAATGCGGCAAAAATGCAAATATAGACTTCATTGTCCCCGAAGTAATTCGTTCATTTCCCTAGTAAAACAGCAAGATACATGTTGACTTCCACTCTTCTGATTGAAATGGAACATGGAAGCGAACGTATCGAATTTCCGTTGCCATATTAGCGTTGCATGTTCTTTAGAGTGCATTTTCGATTTGCACCTGAAATATGCATTAGGGCATTAGGGCATTCGTGTTTGAATACATTGTAATGACTAGACATTTCCTGCTCAAAAATTTCGAAAATAAATGCTGTTCGAGAATGGAAAATTTAGTTTTTGCAGTAAAATGAGATATTGTTGTCACTTCATCTTAGAACGGTCAATCCGTTTTTTGGTACAAAACCTTTTTTGTAATTTGCCGACTTCTGTCAAGCTTTTCCTCGTAGGGCCAACTGTCTTTGTGCTAATCTTTGTTATGCTTTTAATACAGCAAGAAGCGTTGGAACTACATCTTGAGATGTATGACCATGCTGTAACTTTCTCTTACTTTCATTTTTCTCAGTTAACGATTCATAATTTTACTTGATCTCATGCCCCCTAACAAGTCTCATCAAAAGCAAGAGTTTTCGGTGAAAATAGTTATTGGAATCTCGGCTGTGAGAGAAATTAAAATTCAGCTATTTATTGAGTTTTTCTCTTTGGATACGGTTAAGTGGGTAGTTGACTGACTTGAGTCTTCTTCTCTTTTTTGTTTTTATATTTTCACTGCACCCCACCAAGTCCCACCCTTTCGTGCAAACAATTCCAGTCTTGGCTAGCTTTCTAGGAGCGTTTTTTCGGGAGATCCTTACCTTCACCACGACTTTAAAAAAGGGGCGATTCAAGCAAAGAGCAAGTTCCATAAATCCCTCAGTGCTACGCTGCCGCTTCTCTTTTTCACCCACTTGAAAGTGAGAAGTATTTGCATTGACTGGTTGCCCTCTAGCATGTTCGATGACTTTCCTCATGCTGCTTTTCGCTTAGGAGGGACCAATCAACATTTTTTGTTCTTCATAAGTATCGTGACGCGTTATCTCTGTTTTAAAGGCGTATTTTTAATGAATCATCAGCATTTACATAGAGCATCATAGCAGTCTCGCCCTCTTTTTTTGTGTATAACACCAAGAGAACAGCATTTTATTTTGTTTGTTGATTGACTGTCCAACAGACTTTTCTCCCTCTCCAATTGCTTCAACATAACTCTTCGATTCTATAAATCTGGAAAATGGTATTAGCTCACAATCAGATCTGAAGCTTGTTATTTTTGCATGGATGCAATAATGAGAATCCGTAAGGAAATTTTTCACAATTTCCAAAAATATATTGATAGTCTCTTCAAAAAAAAAAAACTATGCAAAATCATTGTGCAGATATCTTTCTTTTTGTTTGTAAAAGGGGTTGGAATGGCTGAAGAACTTTTATTTGACATGTAAAGAGAAGATTCTAAAGAAAGTCAATCAACTCCACTAAGCCTAGATCTCCGGAAAGTATGCCGATGTCTTAACAAATGGTGAGATTGAGCCATTTATGAGAAGTCAACTAAATTCTAGTACATTAACCTTCCGAAATTTTTTTACATTCATAGTTTCTCTGCTATAACGATTGCGTAAATAAATGATTATACATATAAGCCTTGGCTGTTATAGAATGAAAAATTTAAAAGTAGATATGTTTGCAAGTTTGAACACTTCTAACGAGATGAAGTAGAATATTTAGGGGGTTTCAAATTCCAAATTCTTATGAGTTAATTCTTACCAGGGCTCGGAACGAGGTGAGTTTCCGAATATGCAAAAACGAACTCCCCTCTCATTTTCGCAAAATTTTACGAAGTCCCCTTTGACCCAA